GCGAGCATGGCTCCGAGGCCCTCAATCTCGGACCGGAACTTCTCGTGCCGCTGGAGGGCCGTCACCCAGGCGCCCGCAGCTGACAGCTGGCGCACCAAGTCCATCCCCACGCCGCCGCCGCCCGCGACAAAAACTGCAAAAGGAACAGGGTCAGCCATGAATATGTGATTTGAATCAACAGAAAAGAGGGGGATGATTCAGTCACAAGAATCAGTGAAAGCCGCGTCTCTGTCTAGAGGAACAACGACTAAAAGGGGAGCAAAGCTTGTTGTATTGTCCTTGGTTTGAAGGCGATCCCCACGAATGAGATGTCGTTGGCTCTCGGCGCCTCAACCTCATGCAAGCCCTTCGACTTCTTCATAGGCAAAGTCCGAGATGCTTCCTCACATCACCCAAACACTTCGTTCAAACTGCGACCGAAGGCAACTGCCCAATTTCAGTATGATGGCAGGCATACGAAGAAGTCTATGCAATAGAGGGCGAGCGCATTTAAGGGCTCACCGCTTGAGTTGTCCGGCGTAATGTCGCCCTCTTCCGTTGCGTTCCTGACGACTGACCGCTGCTCAGACCGCCTCATGGCCGCTTGCCTTGGGTCTGAAATCTTGGCCCCAGAGAAGGTGGAGGCCGCAGTGGATGACAGCTCAAAGCGGCAAGCGACTCTGGAGTTGCTGGAAGGCTGCCATACTGCATTTGAGAGACATAAGCGCGCAGGGATCAACCTGGAAGTTTTTCCATTCCATTGACGTACCACAATTGCCCCAACCCTGTGCCAGAAGATTGATAAAAGCAATAACCTGTTTCCTTGTCCACTCATGAAAGTGATTTCCAGCCACATCTGACAGTCTTTGGAGCAGGCAAGAGCCATCATGGTCCACGTGTCAGAAAAGGAGGGCGTGCTCACGTGAATGGACTCGCGAGCATGTCGGTCTCCTTGCTGCTTGGGATTCGAAGGACTGCCTGCCTTGCAGTCCAAGAATACCTGCAGTACATGGAGAAGAATCAGGATGCGTACTTGAGAGTTCGCAGCATTACGTTCCCGCATTCAGCTGGCTCCAATAATCACAGTGGGGCGGTCAACAAGGCAACATTGTCACTTCCTGTCCCTCGGTCTCCTTTTTGCAATTGAAAACCCCGCGGAGCCTGTGGCGTGCAATCAATGCTGCCCTCCAATATGTTAAGAAGCCCTTTCCCCCAAAGCAACCGCGTGCTCCTTGCAAACAAACTGTTCTGATAAGGAGCCCGTTCCAAGCTCCTCCAAAGAGCAACTTCCGACCAGATTGTGATAAGCATTTGAACACAAGTGCTGTAAGTTGCCAATGTCACAACATGGCCTTGTACCTTTTCAACCAAAAAGACTTTGCATTGTGAGCAATGCCAAGGCTCAAACCGTTTTTGCCACCTCCACACCTCAGTGCATATTCACAAACGCGTTTTGAAACGAGCCACATGAATATCATTCCCTGTGAGAAAGGCAGCAATAAGGAAACATTCACCATTGACTTACAAGTTGGCTGCTTCTTCCATACACATTTGTTTTGAAAGTCAGTCTCAATGCTCACCTGCAGAGGAGCTTTTCACAACAGCCGCCATAGCCATGACGAACAGGAGCTCCAATATTGGCTCCTCCGCAGCTCTTGCAAAACCCTGCTGTCGTTCTCCTCACGTTCAGCAGGAAAAAGCAGCAGTTGTGTCACTGTAATCCTTTCAATTTCAAAGGAGCTTCATCGATTGATCTACCTATCCTAGGACCTAGCTGCTTTACACCGGGCGCACATGCAAGGAATGGGAAAATGCAGCTATAAACTGCTGGAGTCCGCATTGCATGCTTTGTGAATCGTTGATTCGGAGGGCCAGCAAACATCGTCCCTCGATGATATACGAAGTCTCTCCGATAGAAAACCTCTTATCCGTCCGATCCATCGATAGCGCCTTCACACTCACACAGAGCGCATCTTCACACTCGCCACCGTCTGCAAAGGAAAGAGTTTGAGGCCCAGCCTCATCAGCCTTGGCTCTAGCCTCGTGAGCAGGAAGGTGCAATTTGCAAGCGGCTTGCAAGCAAGCTGGATTGTCAATAGTCACCAATTGAGTACAAATTGAGACAAAGTGGCTTGGTTTAGAATCGCTTATCTCATCGGTTGAAGTTGTTGATTGATCAGGGGCTGTTTCGGTCTGCAGCGGCAGCGCTCTTAGGGAATTACAGCAAGCAGCCATGGCGCGATACGATCGTGCCATCACTGTCTTCTCTCCTGATGGCCACCTGTTTCAGGTAGAGTATGCGCTGGAAGCAGTCAAAAAGGGAACCACGGCGGTAGGGGTGAGGGGCAAGGACACCATAGTCCTGGGTGTGGAGAAGAAATCAACCGTCAAGCTCCAAGACCCCAGGTGAGCATCGCTTGTGCTTACTGATTAGTGAATTTGTCTTGAGCATTTGAATTGACATACGTGCTGGATTGTCTTTCAACAACGTAAGTTCTGTTGATTGGCAGGACGGGGCATCTTCCACCAGATCATTTTTTCCTGAATAGAGATTTCTATTGACGTTGTCATTCTGCGGCGATGATTGCGCACCACCACGTGGGTCTGCTTGGCAGAAGTTGCACATGACGTGAGGCTAAAATCTGATTGACGTACGCCAGAAGCATTTTTGCATCAAGTGTACAAGAAAATCTTGTATCCTTAGGTTGTGCAATCATGGCTATCTGTTTCAGTTCTTGGCATGAGAAAGTGGCTCTTTGGCAATGAAAGAGAGTAAATATCTTGCAGCATATCTTTTTGCTAGCAACCAGAAAGAAGTTCGGGGGGGAGTTAGTATTGCTCCTACAAGGAAGTTGCAGCTTGTCGCTGACTCTGTGCTGCAGGTTGAGTGTTGCAGTATGGCTGCCATTGAAGGTGTCAATTAACCTTCTAACAATTAGTGGGCAGATGCATGCCAACCACTATAACACTTGAGCGACATATTCACAGTGCCGTACCCAAGGAATCCTGACTTGACTCCCCATAAAGACCAGAGACCTGTAAGGCTTTTGAGGCAATGCGTAAGACAAAACCTTTACGCACTAAAGCATTTTGATGGCGTACGCAACTAATTACCTTCCCTCTCTCCCTCTCCAGAACGGTGCGCAAGATCCACAAACTGGATGAGCATGTGTGCCTGGCTTTTGCTGGCCTTACAGCGGACGCTCGTGTGCTCGTGAACCGAGCTCGGGTGGCATGTCAGAGCCATCGGTTGACCCTGGAGGATCCTGTGACGGTTGAGTACATCACGCGGTACATAGCAGGAGTACAACAGAGATACACACAGAGCGGAGGGGTGCGGCCTTTTGGAATCTCCACCCTGATTGTTGGCTTCGACCCGCACACCCATACGCCACAGCTCTATCAGGTGAGCGGGCTGCGGAAAGATGCTGCCGTGGGTTCACGCATTTATGTGACCTGCTATTCCGTATGTCGGATACGAGCAGTCGATGTAAGCGACTGTCGGCTGCGTTGAGTCTTTTGAAGGACTAGCTTCAAAGTGATCCGTATAGGGATGCGAATGGTGATTCTTCCACAGCCACTCTAAGCTCACTCTAATGGAGTCCAAGTGCTTACTTCCCACGGCTCTTTTCATCTTTATCAATCTTCGATAACCAACTCAAGAGGCAACTGAGCTGCTTTGTCAGTACAGAATTCCCTTCTCGAGTCTCTTGTAGACGCCTTTACAAGCCTGTGCTTTGAAGATGAGTTCTCAGGGACTGCGCCAGGTGCTTATTGCGAGTTCGGGAAGTACTGGATCTGCGACTTCCAAAGGCAGCGTGTCAGGCAGTGAGCTGAAAACAACCCGTGTTTGTCCTGCAGACGGATCCCTCAGGAACATACTCCGCTTGGAAGGCAAACGCGACGGGGCGCAACTCCAAGACGGTCCGGGAGTTCCTGGAGAAGAACTACGAGGAGACGTCCGGCGAGGCCACCATCAAGTTGGCGGTGCGGGCGCTCCTGGAGACTGTGGAGAGCGGGGGGAAGAACATCGAGATTGCCGTCATGACAAGGTGAGCGACTACTCTTGTGCAACTTAGTGGATGCATTGATTGGTTAGGCCACTGCTGTTGCCGGTGAACGTGGGCTTAGGGGCAGTGTGTACCCCACAACTTCTTAGCTACAATCGAGGAATGTCTCGGGTCTTTCCTTAGATCATTAACCTTCCGAGAGAGGTAGAACGTACCAAAAGCTTGGTTCGATGCTGGTGTGTGATCCAAAGATTTTCAGTGTAAGCAAGCCACTGGGGTTACTAAGGTGCTAAGATCCCATTAGCTCAGACGGACAAAGTTCACGTAAGGAGTCTTTTCGTGTGCATGACCTGCCTCCGTATCTCTGCCTGATGTTACCTATCTGCGCTCATAGATTGGGGTCAGAGTGACCCGTCTGCTTGCTTTGCTTATTCTGCAAGGATCGGAAGACAGTCCTAACTTCAAACCCCGTGCTGCAGAGACAAGGGTTTGACGATACTCGACGAGGCGCAAGTAGAGGCGATTGTGGCCGCCATTGAAGAGGAGAAGGCAGAGAGCGAGAAGAACAAGGGCAAGGGGGCTCAACAAGCTAAGAAGAAGGTAGAGGAAACCCCTGCAACGCCCCCCGAGATTGAGTGATCAGATGCGCGACTGCGATGAGCCCCACTGACTTTTGCCTTCTTTCTTGAGAGGCGGAACTTTCTTTCTTTATGCAAGTCAAGAGCTGAGTCAAACGCGCTGGGCGTGAATCCAGAAGTTGGATTTTCTGTGTTCATTGGTGCATTTGTACGCTCGATGATGATTGAAATCCGCAAACTTCAAGTCGAAGACTGTCGTGTCAGGGGTTGTATGATGCAGCCAATAGATTAGGCCACCAGCTCCTCTTCTCGTTGCTACGAAGTGAATGTGAAAGAGCGCTCATCTTGTCTCTCAGGAGTCGTACAGCTCCTCAATAAGTCAGATCGATTATCCGAAGTCTTCAAATATGCATTGAGGCGGTTGCAGACCGAGATTGCAAGGTCTGTTGTCATGCGCCGGCATATCATGGACTGTGCTCGCTGTAGGATTTGACACAGAATGTAGCCATGGTACGTTTAATTATAGGGCAACACGTGTGACGTATGCTGTCATTTATTACATCTGCACGTGCCCGATTACATGCTTCCAATCGTCGGACATGCACTTCAGTCAGTCGTTTTGCAATTATTAATTGCGGTGCAATTTCCAGGCCGTTGACTTTGAGTGGGTGCTGTGACGGTGTCACTATAATAGGGCATGGCGCAAAATGAGGCAGTTCCATGCCATGCATCTTATTTTGGCATGGCGAGATTTGTGCGCTCATGCAGTTTGTTTTGAAATTGTCTAGTCGACTTTGCTCAAAAATGTTTTAAAGGCAATTAATCAAAGTGTGCCGTCAAAGTCCTGCTCAATTCACGTAAAGTGGGCGACCGCTGTCGACGCACTTTGTTGTATGAATTTCCGTATACCCTGGCGGAAAGGGAGTATTCTTTGCACGAAACAAGACTCATGTAATGTGGCGGTTGGCAGCTTCAGTTGACGGAGGAGCTTCCTCCAGATTGGGCCGTTGATCCCTCAGCGATTGCAAGACGCTCTCATCAAAAGCATGCGGAAAGTATTTGATGATGCGTGCACGCAAAACTCTGCAAAGTAAAAGTTGAAAGTCATTACTGTCCAGCAGGGACATCCACTGAACTTGGCCCATGCCTGTTCCAAAGTTCCTAATGCAAGATCAAAAAGGCGTGTTAGTCGCAGCTAGGGGAGCAACACTCTGGGCAACCATGTCGGAAGACTTTGACTGCGCAATCACACTTGCCATCTGACTTGTCAAGAACGAATTCTCAGCATGAGTGCAGAAAGATGCAATGACGTCAGAGCTCGCTTCACAGACTACAACGGAAACACTTCCCGGAAATTGAGATGATGATGGTCCAACGGTGCGCTTACCTTATCTTCCGGAAGATGTAGTCCAAATCAAAGCGCATCTCTTTCAGAATCTTCGTGTTCACTGAAAAGTTGCGCGCCACCTCAGCATAGCTTTGAGCGGACGAGTCGTTAAAGTGAGCGAGTACAGCGTGGCTGTTCTCAAGTAGACTCAGTCTGCAAACAAAGTTCAGACTTTCTCTCCTTGATGGTAGCGGGTTGACAGCAAACGTCGTGGAGCGACCTTGTGTTTGGGGTATGATACAGTTTCAATTAGTCACTGTCACTGTGCCCCTTTCAGATAGATGATACCAATGGATGAAGCTCACTATCTAATTGATTTAACGAAGATGAAAGTTTGCTCTCTTGGAAGTCAAGGAAAAGAGAGGTTGGTGCTGGGCATCCAGGAAAGGTTCAATCATTCTTGCCCCAGGGAAGGGCTGTCGATCAATGGTGAAATGAAGCTAGTTCTTCTGAAGTAGCTTCTTTTGGTGGCAAGTTACTCAAGATCTTCGATGAACATAATCCCACTGCATCGGCAGATCACACTTCCAGGTGCGGCTTAATAATATGTGGGATGCAACTTGCAGTACGTTGGTATTAGCTATTGGTCTCTTTCTGCGCCCACGGCAAGCAGAGCAGATTGCAAAGCGGGAAACAATCATGTTCGCTTGGTAGGATGTACATTCTAGCTTCTTCCTGAGGAAATCAATGTAGAGCACTAGCAACATGGGCCTTGGCAGATCCCCAGCAACATTAATAAGTGGCAAGAAAACAAGTACGTCGGTACTTACATCTGCAATTGGAGCCCCTTCAACTTTTCCACATCTCCCTTGTCCATCAGACGCTCCACCTCGCTCACGAGCGCTTCCGCACCGCGTGCTTCCGCCATCTGCTCATCCAGGCCTACCGACACCACCAACTAGAGGACTTTCTTGCCACTCACTATCTTTCGTTAGTTCCTGCCTGAAGCCTAAGGCCCTTCTCGCTGGTCAGAACACTCTGGTTGAGTGCCCTTGATTCAAAGAGGAGAAATTCCCAAGGCTGCCTTTCAAGGGCCACCACTGCCAGGAAAGCTTCAGAGGTAGACCAAACACCTGGTCACGCAGTTGCCACGCGCATAAAAGAAGGTGCCAATCGACAACAATGCGGTACAGCTATTGCAGCTCTGAAGGTCAACGTGGCAGCGCAAGTGGCCGCAAAAACAAACCTGCCCCAAGACCTCACAACCTTAGAGCTGTAATGGATTTACATCACAATCCGCAGATATCCGGGGAAAAGCTGCGGCCATTCCTGCAATCCTTGTAGGCAGATTTCGTGGCTTTTGTCTGGCTCAACTTCAGATGTGTGAGGAGAGTCGCCTCTTCTCGATCACAACATGACGAGCTCTCCCTTTCATTGTCGAATTGTTGACATCAAGCTTTCAATTTCAGGATATTCTCCATTCCGGGGTACGTTACTGGAGACGTGACCGCTGACCCAAGGACTTTCTGAGCCGCCCGATAAGCTGAATTTCCCAACTCCTGGACTGAAGGACGGTCCAGATGCGACATACTGAGCCTCGCAAGGAAGTTCGTTGCAAGTTGCAGGAATCCGGAATGCAGGCTTCAAGGCTTGCCTGGTATTACTTTTCCCAACGTGCATTTGCACTGGCAGTGGTAGAGCCCTTTCAAGCCTTGGTAGGGCGCGCTGTTTACTAATTCAAAGTTACATCCGCTCACCATTGATCAGCAATTTGATTCAACTTATTTGCCGGAGAGAAGCACCAGATGCTTAAGGTGCAATTTGTTGCTAGAGGGGAGTGTTGCGTGACATCCAAGCAAGGAAAGTGCGCGAGGCCCTTTAGGCCAGCATGAGTCAAACAGCATTTGCTCGCGTTCAGTGCCCCAGACTCGAGAACATCGGCTGCAGTGAACGCTTGACTAGTCGAGCACATACAGGCTCCCAACCTCTTTTTCAGGAGGTTTTCCGGATTGATAAACCTCCTCATCCACTTGGAAGCGCGCACACCATACTTGGGAGCTCCAATTCTAAGATCTGTTGGAGAAGCAATAACACTAGGACAATGCAAGCTGCAAACAAGAAGCATGGGGTTGTGGTTCGTGCAGTTGCGGCCGCAGAGGTGGCCGCAGACTCGGTGGATCAGTCCATTGCGCCGAGGGTTGCTGCATTGAAGGTGTCGAAGACAATGGCGCTTACAGACGCGGCGAATGCAATGAAAGAGGCCGGGATTCCAGTGATTGGTTTGGCTGCAGGAGAGCCGGACTTCGACACCCCTGAACCAATCGCTGAGGTATGGAAAGACATGGAATGCGGGTCAGGAACTGGGGTCTTGAATGAGTCATGGTGATGTGGATTGCCATGCCTTTGGCCCTGCTTTAAGTCTACGTCAATTCTGGGGGCTGAAACAGTCGGCAATTCCAGCCTGGAATAATGTGAAAGCCTTCAATCTACTGTGGGGCTAGTTAGACGTGCAATATGGGCATCCTTTAGGATGCCTCGTGCCTGCTTCATTAAGCGCAGGAGTTGTAGATTCCATTGTCCTGCTTCAAGCGGAGAAGATACGCCGCTGATTTTGGCCCTCAGTAGACAGGAGTGGGCGACGTTGCTGCATTCTGTCAAAGCCAGAGTGGAAGCATGTTCATCTTTGCCAGCTCGTTTGTGGCATTCACAAGCGGCAGATGCGGATCCCCTCAAACAACTCACTGTCTGCCCATGGAAGTACTTCAATGTTACCGAAGCTTGTGCATCTTCTAGGAAGTTCTTTGTGCATCTCTTGCCCTTTGAAAGGCTTCAACTACGTTTCGCTTGTGCAGGCAGGCATCAGAGCCATCAGGGAAGGCTGCACGCACTACAGCCCCAACACAGGGACAGCTGCCATCAGGAATGCCATCTGTAAGAAATTTAAAGGTATGCCTCGCCTTTCGGCCAGTTGAAACTTCAAGAGCGCGGATTGCCAATGCTTTATGCTGTGAAGCTTTTATGAGTCGTGGTTTGTTTTGAATGGCAGTCCTGAGGTTTCCACTGATGCCTACTGCGGTTTACAAATAAGCTCTAATCCTGGAAGAAAGCAATGAACACGAGCAGCCTTTGCCGGCTGGCGCCACAACGGGGGCACACCAAAGCAGCCTTTTGGGGAGAATTGAGTGGGCATGGGAACAGGTCCTTGCCTCGAAAGGACAGGACCAACGACTACTGAAATATAAATATCTATATCAAGGTTAGAGGAGTACAAGATTTAGTTGACGCTGTAGCCCTACCTGCCCCTTGCAGAGGAAAACGGGTTGACCTACGCTGCGGATGAGATCGTCGTCAGCAACGGCGCCAAGCAGTCCATCGTCCAAGCGGTCCTGGCTACGTGCTCTCCAGGTGACGAGGTCAGTGATGAGAAGCTTGCAGCTTAGACGCATTGGAATCGATTTTCTATTGGCAGGCTTTTTGGCAAAACGCCTGTCAAGCCGGCATTCATGTCAGAGGAACATACTGATATTTTTCGACTCCTTCTCTCGATCATCAACTGGAGGTTCTTTGCCAAAGCTACAGCAGTGTCCCCCTTGCAGAGAGCGTTTGTCTGACAGCTTTCCACTTTTTAAAGCAAACCCGTAGGCACAGGAGATCGACCTTCGAAGCTGGTCACTCAGTCCAGGGTTGGTGATGGTTTCTCGGTCACCTTTATATTTGAGAACACCCTAAGCCGCTCTTTGCTGTATCCAGTGTCATCACAAGAGATTCTTTCAGCGATGCCTAATCCGAGGCCGTCATGCTAAACTGCCCCCCTGGAACGAACTTTCCAAGCCCTGTTCACATCACTTCTTTTCAGGGGGACCTCTCACACCCACTCCGCTCTTTGCCCAGGTAATCATTCCCGCCCCCTACTGGGTTAGCTACCCCGAGATGGCCAAGCTGGACAACCTTTCACACCCTCCCAAAACAAGTCCCAGAAGACCATCGCAAAGATCAAATAAACATAGTAATGGGATTATCAGACCCTAGAGAACATCTTATAAGGAAACTCGATTCGTTCCAGGTGGTCATCCCCGCCCCCTACTGGGTCAGCTACCCCGAAATGGCCAAGCTGGCCGACGCCCGGGGCGTCATTCTCCCGACCAGCATCTCCGAGGGTTACCTGCTAACCCCCGAGCAGTTAGAAGCCGCCCTAACCCCCCAGTCCCGGCTTCTCATCCTCTGCTCGCCGTCTAACCCCACGGGAGCCGTCTACAGCCGGGAGCGGCTCGAGGCGCTCGCGAAGGTGGTCGCCAAGCACCCGCGATTACTGGTAAGTCGGATCGAGCCCCATCTGGACGCCAGCAGGTGAGCGTTGCGGGAAGCGTACGCACCCGATGACCGGAAAACCGAGTATCAGCCATGAATACGACTCGACAGCGACTTTGGACGAGTTCGAAAAGGGCAACATCTATCTGCCCGCATTCGCCCTAAGAAAACGTGGACCCGCCCATGGAGCACGTGAGCTTCGCGGCCCTCTTGCTTAACCCAAACCTAACCCTCGCCAGGTGTTGTCGGACGAGATCTATGAGCATATCATCTACCCGCCCGTGATACGTCTTGCTGTAACTCTGAATCCCAACCCGAATCTACATAACTTCAAACAAAATCAACCCTCGCCAGGTGTTGTCGGACGAGATCTATGAGCACATCATCTACCCGCCCGCCGAGCACGTCAGCTTCGCGGGCCTCCCGGGAATGTTCGAGCGCACATTGACCGTGAACGGCTTCAGCAAGGCGTTCGCCATGACCGGCTGGCGCCTGGGCTACCTAGCAGCGCCCAAACGCTTCGCTGTTGCTTGCGGACGGATACAAAGCCAGGTACGGGAATAGAAATAGAGAGACTTCTAATTAAGTCGTCTCTCTATTTCTCTCTGTTTCATCTGCGTGACGACCGGAGGAGAGGCGCTTCATTATCTGCTGTGTTGGATCAGAAGGTATGAAATGCACATTTGTGCTCGGTAAAAATAGCAAGGAAAGGAAAGAGGAGATGACGAGAAAGTGAGATGCTTACCCGATTCGCACCCGCACCCACTCTAATCCCCCAAAGACCCCACCAGTCCCAACACTGTGTCCATCTATCTCACTGTGCTTCTAATTCACTGCTTCAGTCGGATTCTTCCCTACCCTCGTCGACCATTGTATACGGGGGAGCTCGGCGCTTCCGAAGTGCCTGTTACCTTCTCAGATCAATCCCACATTCTCCTTGTCGATCAGAACTTTCTCTTTCCGCAGACGACGTCTGGCGCCAGTAGTATCGCACAAGAGGCGGGGGTTGCTGCGCTGGCACTCGGGAAAGGGGGCGGGGAGCCCGTGGCCCAGATGGTGGCAGCGTTCCGGGAACGGCGAGATTACGTTAGCATGCGGCTGCTCCGGATGAACGGCATCCGACTGGCGGAACCGCAGGTGACGTCTCATCGACATTCTCCGGAAGGTTCAAGTGATAAGTTGGTGTCGGATTCACGAGAGCAACCCGAGGGAATGTACGCTGTGGGTTTGCGTTCCCGTTTGACGCTTCGGATTGGCCTTCGTTGCGGGGCGCGGATAAGGGGCTGAGGCAAACGTTAAGAAGGGAAATCAAACATGGTCGCTTTACATCATAACAAGGACATCGGAGTCAGAGGACTGCTTCAGCTGTTGGCGGTTGAGATTGCGATGCAGGAGCCAGGAGCTACCACATCGTGCGTCTGTTTACCGTTTGAGAGCTGCTTTTGTCTTCCCTGCTCGATTCCAAATTGGTGTAAGACGTGAAAAGGGACTTCGCTTCGTGCTGAGCTGAGGGACCCAACTAACGGGAACGTATAGCTGGAATCGCGGAGAATCGCAGGCCTGCTCTGAGGCCTTATGTGCTGGCCTGAAACCATGTGCTTGTGACGTCAGCACAATCGAAGTGCGGCGGTCTGAAGAGATGGAAATGCAAGAATCAAAAGAGAAGGCTGAGGTAAAGCTGCTTCTGTGAACAGTCACGAAGTTACTCCCAAAATCGCATGAAATAGCATGCACGCAACCGGCCCCGCCATCAGAATTTTGGCCCGGACAGGAAGCAAAAAGACCCGTCGGTTGTATTGAACAAGGTATCATTTTGTGAATTTCGAATGTGCCATTTCCATGGGACAGGGAGCTTTCTACCTCTTCCCGGACGTGACGGCTCTCTTCGGCGCCCAAGCGGACGGCTTCGGACAGATCGTCGACGCGGACTCGCTGTGTCAATATCTGCTGAAAGAGGCACAGGTGCGTTAGAGCTGCAACTGATCTTCTACAGCGGACGTTTTAAGAACGTCCCCGTTGATTTTTGACGAACCATGAGTGCGGGCAGCCTGTGTCATGACCTGCTGATAGAGTTGACGCACCTTAAATTATTGGGCCGGAGATATGATCATTGCGCCAACCGAGAGTCGAGGTTCTCGGAGGGCCGTTGGCAGCGTGTAGACGTCATCGAATGGTTCCGCACACACGGACTGTCTTGCACTGTCACTGGGAATGATCCGCTGCTGCCCAGGCTAAGCTAGTTCGAATTGTGCGCTGCTAAGTTCGTAAGAGATAGTCGGGCTCGCTGCCACGGAGTTATTTCACTTTTCTGCTGCTAAAGGTAACGTTTTGACCATGAGCACACCGTCCCTTACACGATTATCGTCGATGGTTGACGTGATTATCTATCCTTCTTCTTCAGGTAGCGCTCGTACCTGGCGATGCGTTTGGAGGGCCAGAGTCCATTAGAATCAGCTACGCAGCTAGTCTTTCCGTCTTGGAGGAAGCTTTGGATAGATTAGAGGTAGCCCTTGAGAAGTTGCAAACCCCCTGACCCTGCTCGGGTGAAATTGTTTTTGCTCGTAACATTGTGTGTGGCACGACAATGATGCTAAACCCAAAGATTGATTATGAAGAGGACGAGCGAGGATTGAAGACAGTTCAAATGCTAGAGCGGATGTCGACCAAGCTAGGGCGCATGCGGTCATTAAATGCACCATCCAAGTGAAGGTCGAGGGTGGCATTTTTTGACACCTTATTATCATCTCGAGTACGCCCGGTAATGATACATTTTATTCGTTCCCTGATTGGTCGAAACCCTTTACCATTGACTTCGTTGACCACGAAGTCACTTGAATCAAAGCGCACCCCACCCTAGATCGAAAATTCAAAAGATCGACACCGTCCAACTTCCAATCCAACGGCATAGAAGTACACCAATTGTATACCTATATCGATTAGTATGAGTCCGACGTTCTTGGCTACGCTATTAAGTCGTGTCGGCCGGTCTCCTCTAACCCACAAAGGTTCATCTTGAAACCCCAGAAAGAAGTGTCAGTTTGAGCACAAAAATCGACCCCACTTTGGTTTGACACTAGTAGGGCCAAAAGTCGGAGCTGGTTAGCCACGTGACCCGGCACCTTAACTTGGCATGAAACCCGAGTAAGGTGGCCATTCTCTTTCACAATGATTTGTGGACGAGCTGTTGCGCTGTGGTCTGCTTCCTTTAGGGTCACTATGGGCCTTCCAGTTCGATCATGGAGTAGGCGCTATTCGCAATCGACTTGCGCGGCAGCCAGTAATTGAAGTTGCGAGGGAGGCTCGCGCCTTGCGAGCCGGCCCGGCGCGCCAGGTATATAGCCTGGGAGGGCGGGTATGGAGAATAGGATCCAGAACTTGATCTCAGATTCCCGATCTCAGGACATTCCGGATCTCAGGAAGCCAGCGTAGGGGGCTGCAATCTGCGGGTAATGTATCCCCATAGCTTCCGAGTCTGCGCGTTTAACGATTGACCGGGGCGCCCGGTGGGAGTCACTTTAAGTCGTCCGATATAACTTTCAGGGCCCAGCTTGAGTAGATTGCACCCGGCGGAGCTAGATGGTAGACGTGGCCTTGCAATCCTGAGGAAACCTCAGATCAGGAATTTTGGATCCTATCCTCTGTACCCGCGCCCTCCGGCCCTGGCCGCCGCCGGCCGCCGCGGCCCGCGCGGCGCTCCATCATGCTTGTGTGATACTGAAAACT